CACTCTGCTCGTTTGTGACGACTTCGCCGGAAAAGGTTTAGTGTCAAACCAGACTCACCATTAGCTAACATCATTACTAAAGTCAGACATTACCACTTAACTGTAGCAATACTTATGCAAACATGGCTTTTTGCTTTAAACATAAAACGTCTCATAACTGACTTCGTTATCTTTCAAGGTTTCTCACGTTATGATATTGAACTCATTTGGAAACAGTCAGGTATAACATTACCTTTTGAAGAAATTTGGGAAGCATATAAGTCTCTCATCTCTCCTCGTTCATACCTTGAGATTCATATCATGACTAATACCATTAAAGTCAAAAATATTCCATGGGAACGACCAACATTGTTTTAAAGTTTAACCTTCAATTGACTGATGGTAAACAAATTCCATGCATCTCTGTCGCCATTTCTGTTAATATTTTTGCTGTCATTCATATCATCCACTTCCCCATCCGTTAGCTTTTGAGGATATGCGTTAGAATAGCTGTTCTTAAATGAAGGCTTTTCACCTTTGAGAGCATAAACTCTATAACTTTCTGCATACTTTATGTTTGAACCTCCTGAGCCATCATTGACATAAATTTTTATAGGCTTCCACCCTTTGTTCATGTTCCTGCTTCTTCCCTTAGCTCTTTTGTTCAGTAGTTCTACATCTTTATACACAGCACCTGTCTCAGTGAATTCAACAATATTTTCATTCGTTAGCTTTACATTCAAACCCTTGTCGAGTATATTGTTCATTTCATACATATAAAAGGTTTTTATTCTATATGAAATGAGAAGCAAATCCATCTTAGCTGGTGCCGTTAATGTTCCAATTGAACCAACATCAAATGTTGACTCACGAACGACAAACAATATTGTCATAAAGAACTATAGTTCAGAGTGTTTGAAAGAAAAAGAACCAGAACTGAAATCCGTGAATTTAAACTCAGCTTCAAACGCTAACGCTACATCAGATGTTAAGTTAGAGTATCCACCACTGGACCAAATTCTTTCAAGAGAAGCCAACGACAACCCTTACACAAATGTTCAAACAAATCCTTCAGATAACGTAGACCATTACCTTCTTCAGTTATACCAAACAATTTTACTCAAAGACGATAAGAAGCTTTTGACAAATCTTATAAGCAAGAACCAAATAATTCTAACAAAGGAGGACCTTGAAAATGTTATCTCACGAATAACAGGGAAACAATGTGTCATTGACTATCTCGACCCTGAAATCGAATGCTGTGGTCAAACGCCATATTCATGAAAATAGGTAACATCCGCATCATTGAAACACCAGGAACTACAGGAGTTGAGTTTAAGTATAAATATTCGAACGAGTATACAAAACTTTCAACAGAATATAAACTTTGCTTGAAATATGTTTTAGTAAATTAAAGCAATTTGTAATATCTATCCAAAACTTCTTCAACAGTATCGAACTCATCTTCATAATGCAAACCTAATCTTATTGACTTGGTGCAGTTTTCACTAACACAATATTTTTCTGTTCTCTTGACTGACATAACTAACTCATTTGTTTCATCAAACAGCAACAACCAAAGTTCATGACCTAATACATAACATTCATACTTTATATTTTTAGCTCTGAGTTCTCTTGTAAGCTGTTGCATTTAATATTTTCTAAAAAGTCAACTTCAACAGTCATTCGCACTGGTGCCTTCAGTTCTACAGGCTCTCCTTGAAAGTCAACAAGTCTGAATTGCATGTCTTTCAAATTATGAGGACTAATGCGAACCCATTTACCTAAATGAGTTGCTATGACAGGAACGTTTGGAATGAACATTGAATTGACTGCATAACAGAAGGATTTATATTCTACTGAACCTTTACTATTAACTCCTGAAATACCTGTGACATTAGCTATTTTAGACTCAATGTATAAACAATTGCCATAACATACGTATGGAACAGATTTCATCTCAATCGTTTTGTCAACACTTTTCAAAGGAAATGTCATATGGTATGCTCCTAAAAGAAGTTGAACTCTATGACTCATTCGTGTTATCTTGAACTCTTTCTTGCTACTGAACTTCAATGTTCCCTCAGAAGAGAGTTCGACATCTATGTTGTCAATAGTTTCTTCATTTATGAGAGTATCTATGACTCCAGCAATTTTATCTATTCTATACTCTGCTCTGTTAGGAAATGTTATAAAACTTCTTTTGTCATCTATTTCAATCTCTATGAAATCTGTTTCGTCAGTTATAACGAATGAAGCAATAGTATTAAAGTCAACAACTCTGAAAGCAAGCGCTTCATTCTGAAGACCTAAGTTTGTTTGTAGCTTTACTGTCCCGTATTCGTTTGGGTCTGTACTTTGCAAATAGAACAACATTTTATTCTCATTAAAATATGACTATTGCTGCATATGCGTATGAAACAAATGAAGCAAGAAGAGCACATGAACTAGTAAACGAAAACTCAACTTTAACCATTGAAGGCAATGATTTAGTCATTGACGATGGAAAAACTAAAAAAGTCATTGATTTCGATACTTTTAACACTTATGACCCATTCATTACAACAAGCAAGGTTCCCATCATAAATGATGGAACGGTGCAATATATAAATTCTACAGTAGATGCCTCATTAGTGAAAGTATTAAATGTTCTCATTGAATTGTTAAAGAGCTTTCGATTTGACGACAACATTAAATGCCTAAAGAATTTAGTCATGAATGAGAAACAAATTCTCGGCGTTGCTGGTAGCAGTAATGATGTACACCTTATGACATTAGAATATTATAACGAACATAAAGATGAACTGAAAGGAGAGAAGGGTGACACCGGACCACAAGGAATACAAGGACCACAAGGAATACAAGGAATACAAGGAATACAAGGACCTCAAGGCGAAAACGGTTTGGATGGAAAGGATGGAAAGGATGGAAAAACTGCTAAATCATGGATATGGGACCTTATAAATACTGGTTTAACAGCTGCTTCATATGGAGTTCTTCAATACCAAATCGGAAAGATATGGGCAGTACTTGGTGAAGAAGCTTTAGATGACGTTAAAAATGCTTTGAACTTCATTTCAAATGGTTCGGATACTATTAAAACTTTATCTGGTTGGATGCAAGAAACAAGGAGTCAAATAGATACTGTAAGACGTATAGCAAACAATGCACGTACGGGATTGGATACTTTACGAGAAGCACAAAATACACTAAAGGAAGCAAATGATATTCTTGGCTCAGTATCAGACATGCATGAAGATTGGCTTAAAGGTATTGACAAATCTTTAAAAAATCACAGTCAGTCTATTGCTGACTACAAGAAAAGTATAGATTTTTTACATAGTGCTATGGACGTACATGATGGAAGCATAAGGAACTTACTTAATGCTAACAATAACTTACCAGGAACTATTAAAGCATTTATAAAGTCCTTTGTAAAACCCGGTGCTCTAACATTTAGGTCTTTGAGAGCAAGAGCATTGAAGTCAAGAGATGCAGAAACTCCAGAAGAACCACCAAAACCAACAGCTAATGAAATATTGTTCGAATATTTTCCAAGGTACTCTGTTCTCATTGCATACATTCAAGAAATACTTAAGAAAGCAGACTTGACTTTAGGAGATGATGAAAGTTCTGTATATCTTTCGTTCCAGTTTCAAATAGCAGAACTTTTGAGACAGATATGCTTAATGTATGACAACATCTCTGATTTCACAAGATATGATGACGACCATGACCCCGAACACGGTGAAGAAGAAGTTTTACAAACATCCATTAAGACAGGAAAGGTTTTAACTCAAAGTCTCATTATTGACACCAAAGATGGCGAAGTGGACGTTCTTCAAGAGCTGAAGAAAAATACTTCTTCGGGAGGTGGTGGTAGGCATGAACTTGAAATAAATGAGATAGAAGAGAAATTAGCCGAAAAAGCAGATAAAGAACATAAACACAATATCTCCGATATAAATGAACTTCAAGCTACATTAAATAGTAAAGCAGATAAAAATGAACTTGACGCAATGAACAAAGTTTTGAAATCTCATAAACACAATATCTCCGATATAAATGAACTTCAAGCTACATTAAATAGTAAAGCAGATAAAAACCATGTTCATTATATAACTTCAGACGAACAGATTATAACGGACTACCATGGATATTTAACACGAAGTGATGAAGCGAAGACAAAAAATGTTAATGAAAGAAGATATAAATACATTCGTGCTAAAGGTTATGACATAAGCTGTACTGTACAGTATGATGTAGCTAAAGCACCAGAAGCATTTGGTTATACCGGTGAAATTTATGCCTCTACTTTCATGTTAACGGTGTATTAGTTGAACCAAGATTTACTTTGAGAGTTAAGTCAAAAATAACGTTTGAAGATGCTATTAAAAGTAAAGCTGACAAAGTTGAACTCGAAGCAATGAACAAAGTTTTGAAATCTCATAAACACAACATCTCCGATATAAATGAACTTCAAGCTACATTAAATAGTAAAGCTGACAAAAATCATACACATAACTCCTTCTCAACTGTTAGAGCAGACGACATAATATTGAACTATACCCTTGGTTCAAGTGCACCTTTAGAGAATCCAAGTACAAGCGTAAAAGATACACTAAACTCCTTAAATAACAAATGTATAAATATCAAAGGTCATGTCAGAAACTTTGAAACATATGAACTACCAGCAATGTTAGATAAAAAAGCAGACAAGAACCATACACATGATTTCTTCACAACTGTTGCTATAGAAAGTATTGAAGGAACGGTTGAAGGAACTGGTGGGGATGCATTATATTGTAAACCTCCTAACTTTCCACAAGGTTTAACATCGGATGACGACATAACGACGATGAGAAACATTAGATGTAAAGATGTTTATGTCATGAAGGATGAACATAATATTAAATTCACTGCTCAAGATTTATATGACAAGAAAGCAGACAAAACAGAGCTTCAAACATTAAAGACAGATTCTTCAAACATTATATCCTATAGGCTCTATTTATACTTCAATGAACTCAACAAATCCAGCAACAGTTTTAGGTTTTGGTACATGGCAGCAGATTGTAGACAAATTCTTATACTGTGCTAACTCTTCAAAGCAAACAGGAGGTTCGAAGAAAATTACTGAAGCAAACCTTCCACCGCACACTCATACAGGAACTACAAACACAACAGGTAGTCATTCACATTCAATAACAAAAAGAGGTTATACAAATCTTGCAGCAGGTTCGGATAGACAGGGAATGCATAGATATGATATTTCAAGTGACCCAGTAGATTCAAGCGCAGGTATTTTCTGTGGAACCGCAGGAAATCATGCCCATACTTTCACAACAAATCCAACAGGCTTGGGTGCAGATTACATGCCACCATTTGTGACTGTATTTGCATGGTACCGCGTTCAATGAACGCGCTTGAGCCTAGAATAAAATCTTTAACTTTACATAAATGAGCTTGAAAGAAGTATTCGAACAACATCCATGGAGGTCATTTAAGAAGTTCAATGAAGCTGCAAAGAGTTGGGGATTTACTAACAGAGCTGAAGTGAAAAGGTTCTTTGACAAAAATGTTGTACATCAAACAAAAATAAACCCTTACGACTACTTTTTACCAATTTACTCCAACACTCCTGACGCATACCAATTTGACACTCTCATTCAAAGCAGAAAAGGAGGACATAAACCATTCCTCATCTTCATTAATGTTAACACTCGTAAAGCTTTTGCGTATATAATGAAAAATAAAGGAACTCGTGAAGTGTTAAGAGTTTTACAAAGTTTGTAGCAGAACATAACCCAAGTACTTTAACATCAGACCAAGACAGTGCATACCTCAGCAATGAAATCACAGAATTTCTCATTAAGCATAACATAACTCACTACACTACTGAAGACCATAACCATAACATACTCGGCATCATAAACCGCTTCATAAGGACGCTCAGAGATTTAAACCAAGAGCGAGACTTTACCGAAGAAACAATGAAACATTTTCTCGAAGTATATAATTCCTCAACACATTCTACAACAGGACATACACCAAATTCAATGACACAACAACAAGAAGAAAAGTATATACAAAAGAAACGAAGCCAAACACAAAATATCAGAAATTCAACACAATTTACCCTCATTCCTGGTACAAAAGTTCGTGTAGTTCTTGACGACAAACCGTTGACAAAGAAACGTTTAAGGTTAAGTCGAAATTATTATATCGTAGACTCTACGCAAGGTAATGGATATCTTATAAAAGCTGCTGACGACTCTATTGCGTTTTATCCTCGTCATAAATTAGTCGAAAGTAGTAATGGCAAACTTGCTGAAACCATTGACGAAGCAAAGCGAGGAGTGGTTATTGAAATACTTGACTACAACATAAACGATGACACTTATAAAGTAAGATATGAAGGAGGTGTTGAAGATGTTATACCATCTAAGAACTTGAGAGAGTCAAAGCCAACACATCTGGGACCATTAGAGCGGGAGTACTGGAAAGACAAAAATATGCCAGAAAGAATAAGAAAATTCTTCTAAACTTTTTCATTAGATGTAAATCAGACAAAATATATTTTAGGTGAAGAGGTGAGATCTCACCTGTTTTCTAACATGGTCTAAAACACACAAAACTCATGAATTTTGTGTGTTTTCAGCATTATTTTTTTGCATTATGACACGAAGTGAACTTTTGCACTTCGTCAAAAACTCATGAATTTTGTGTGTTTTCAGCATTATTTTTTTGCATTATGACACGAAGTGAACTTTTGCACTTCGTCAAAAACTCATGAATTTTGTGTGTTTTCAGCATTATTTTTTTGCATTATGACACGAAGTGAACTTTTGCACTTCGTCAAAAACTCATGAATTCTCATGAATTTCCTTAAGATAGAAAAAATAAAAAATAATTTTTAGGTAGAATGTTAGATCTAACATGCTAACATAAACTTTATTTTTATTGAATTCAGCACAAAAATAATGAATTTCATTAGTTAGAAAATAACGCTAATTTTTTCTAAGAAAAATTTTTATTTTGTATGTAAAGACAGTAATGACAAACATTGAGTTTGAAACAGTTAGAAAGATAGACAATGACACCAAAGTGGTTAGAATAGGTGATTTAAACGTAAGATACTCAAAGAAATACAACAAATATTCTTTGTCAGACATTATAACACCATCTGGAAAGAAAACAAACGACTGGGTTAGAAATGCTTCAACTCAGAAAATTTTGACAAGAAATCCTGAGCTTATGATATCAGTAGCATTTCATGGAACAAGAGCATATCTCATTGACAAAAGTCTTATACCAATAGTTTTGTTATGGATTGACCCAGTTGTTGGATATAACTTCATAACTTATGGTTCATTCGACTCAGAACGTTGCAGTGAAGGCTTACTTTACATCGTTCAGAAACCGAAGGACTTCAATACAAAGAGATATAAGATAGGAAGAACATATAATATAACTCAAAGATATGACAGTACAGTCAATAGAGTCAAGGTTGTGTTCGTTAATGATATAAGAGCTGCAGAAACAGAACTACTTGAAAAGTTTGAGAAAAGGTATGGTGCTCCCATGAAAGGTAAAGAAACGTTTGAAGTAGATGAGATAGATAAAGCTATAAAATTATTTGACGAAGTTGCTGAAAAATACATGTAAAGCGTTTATTTTTGGTCTTTTGTGAAAATTCATGAAATTTGGTCATTTTTCACCAAAAATAATGTTTAGGTGAAGAGGTGAGATCTCACCTGTTTTTTCACCTGTTTTTTCACCCCCGTGAATTTTCATGAATTTCCTTAAGACAGAAAAAATAAAGTTAGTTTTATTTTTATTTATTTTTTTATTTTGTATAAAAGATATGATTTCAACAATCGGCACAACAACAATTCAAACAACAGCACCAAACTCGTTAGTCATGAATCCAACATCTATGTTAGTAGAGATGAAAAACTTCATTCCTTCTTCATTTACTTTCGAAACAGAAATACAAAGAATAAAGCAAGAACTTTTAACAAGTAATTTAGACTGTACCGCACAGGATGAAGAAAATGAAGAATATCTTTATGAAATGCAGGACATTATTGACCATTTACCCAAATTGCCTGAAATCCAACAGCAAAAACTAACTATTCCTGAATTCGACGAAATTGAAGTTAAAGTTACTGATTCAGTAGAAATAAAGAAGTTCATACGTAAAGTAAATTATGAATTCCTTGGTTTTCATTGCAACCATAAAGTTATGGACAAAGATTGCGACATGGTTTATAAAAACATTTCTGACATATATAAATCTGAGGAGTTTAAGACTTACGATAACTTTGTTTCATTAGTTGCAAAATGTGTTTGGGAAATAAGAGATAAAGATAGAAGAGGCAAAGTATGGAACGAACAAATAAGACCCGCTATGTTTGAGATGAAGAGAGCAATTGACGCTTTAGTTGTTTTAGCTGGTTTTATTTCAATGTATAACGCAAAAACGATGCCGCAATGTTCTAAATGTAAAGCAGCAATGAGGAAATATAACTACTCCGTCAAAGAGATAGAACGTATGCGAAACGACTATGCAGACTTAAAGAAAGAAGCAGAAAAACCAGCAGAAGATAAAATGGACATGTTAGCATTTCTGAACAAAAACTATCCAACAGCAGAAGATTTCCTTCTATCTGACGTCAAGAAGAAGTATAAAGAAACTTTCGGTATCGTTAAAACATTCGATGTACTAAAAGAAGAAATAGAAGCTACGAAACTGTTTAGGATTTCAAATATACATCGTACAATTCATGTAAAACGCTTGTGAAAAAAGAGGTGAAAAAACAGGTGAAAAAAGAGGTGAAATCTCACCTCTTCACCTAAATTATATTTTTGCTGAATTCAGCAACAAAATTCTGAGTAAAATAATTTTTAGGGCATGTGTCAAACCGTTGAGTTTTCACAAAATTCCAAAAATAACGTTTACCATGTGAAACGTTTATAAAATAACTGGGGTGAAAAAAAGGTGAAAAAAGAGGTGAAATCTCACCTCTTCACCTAAATTATATTTTTATTGAATTCAGCACAAAAATCATGAATTTCCTTAAGATAGAAAAAATAAAGTTAGTTTTATTTTTATTTATTTTTTTATTTTGTATGTAAAGACAGTAATGACAACATCAGAGAACACAACAACAGTTATAGTCCATGAAGCCATAAATGAAGAATACGAGTACATACAATATAACAAACAGTTACGTCTCATTCGTTCAGTCAAAGATGACATGTACCAAATGCAAAGTATTTTGACAGCATGTTATGCTCCAGATACTAAACTTCCTAAAGACTGGTTTAGGAACCAAAGCACTATTGAACTATTAAATGAAGCACAGCGAGACATACTTTTTTCTGAAAACAGTGAAGAACAGCGAGTAGGTAAAAAACCCCAGTCGCCAAAACTCTATGAAAATCGTGAAAAATTGCCAAACGGTTTGAGAGGATATTATGTTCATAGACTTCTCGTAAATGCTGTAGCAATGTGGGCTTCACCTCGTTATGCTTGGTATGTTTGTAAACTTCTTGACGAAATTCACAGACAAGAACGTGGAGAGATGGAAAAGAAACTTCAAGCAAAAGATGAAGTCATTGAATCCAAAGACAAAAGCATACAGAAAAGAATACCGCGTTCAGTACCAAAAGGAAAGGAAAAGAGTTATAAGTATATGATATATACTGAAGAGATGGAAAATGAAGAAGATAAAGATATGGTTATGTTGCATTTAGTCAGAAGAAACAACAAAAGCTTTTACGACCTCGCTAAGATATATAAATCTGACAGAAACTGGTTCTATCGTGAAAACTTACCGATTTCAATGACACCGAATGAGCAAATAAAGGAAATTGTCAAAAGTACTCTTCCTCAAACACACTATGACATCAAAGGTTGCACAATACTTACATTCAAAGAAGACTTACCATTACTGAAGGAAAAAATAACAGAATATTTCGATAACTTCAAAGAGGAAGAATGAAAATCTAAGCTAATTTTATTTTTTTTATAAAATTTTATCTCATATGAAAGAACATGAATTTAGAATATTCGGAACTCATGACAGAAGAAGAGAACGAACAACATGTAAAAGATTATGCAAAATTTCTGAAGACATACAAAGCATTTAAACAATATCTAAATGCTTCTAAAGATTATGCAAAATTTCTGAAGGTATATAAAGCTTATGAAAAAGCGTATGAAAAGTTTATACATTGGGGAATTGTTGTAAAATATCGATATGAAGACTAACCAAAAATATATTTTTGCTTAAATAGCTTCAGGGTCTATTTCTTCAACCATTTCACTTCCTTCGTCAATGTCAATAGAAGCTTCTTCAACCTTTGGTAAGAATTTCTGTATAACATTTTTGTTCGTTATTGTCTTCAGAGATGAAGGATAATATTTCACATTTGTTTCACCCTTCTTATATTCTTTCTGTTCGGAAAGATTCATAGCAATACTGAAGAAGTCAATGTTAGAGTTCTTTATGACAGTATAATGAGTATCTTTGACATTCACGAAGAAACTCTTTTGTTTCAAAACTACTGCTAACTCTTGTGAAGTATAACGTTTGCGGTCAATGACGATAGCTAATGGTCTGACATACTGACCGAACTTAGATTCTTTCACAAACTTCTTGTTAAAGATAACATTAACATTTGAAGCATTATTGAACTCATTCTTGATGGCATTAGCGAGAGCATTGTATGAAAAGAACTTGCAATCTTGCATGTGTTTCATTATAATAAAAATATTAAATTATTTTGAAAAATAACTTAAAAAAATCTAATCTAATTTTTTCAAAAAATATTTTTTTTATTTCCTACTAAAGATGTATCGGAAGTTGTCTAAGTTAGAACACTCGGAAATAAAACAACTTCTTACAGAAGCTAACATAGATGTTGCAAAGCATTACGCAACAAACAAAAAAGCACTCACTGACTTCATTAAAGACTATAATGGTGCAATAAGTTATGATAGAATTCATGAGTTCATAAAGCCGCAACGCGGCGAGGACGAAGTCCATGCAATAGCATTTCCTTTAAATGACGTTGCTATTGACTTATATCATAGACGTTCAGTACCTCATGAAGTAAGAAGAGAAATGTTTGACATAACAAATGCAAACGTTGGTGAAACAAGAAGAAGAGACGACACACTGAAACAACAGAGAAGAGAGATGTTTAAGAGCGCTATAGAACAAGTTCGCAAAGCTAACGATGTCATTCGTTCCATTGACGACAAACCAAAAGAAGGTGAGAGATGGTTAAAGAAAGATGAAGAGAATAGGAAGAGAAATGTGAAGTCAGGCAATAGACTCATTGACTTTAACATCGAAGCTTTAGATGAACCAAACAGAGACTACTTACACAAACATTTCGGTAAGGTTTTCATGAGACTCTTAGAGAAATTAAAATAAACTCACAACAGAGATGGATGGTATGTTATAAACTTGGTGGAAAGTATGAATGTTCTACGTTAAACCTCAATAATATTGGAACATTACTACATCAGCTCTTGAAGGAGAACTTTATATCAGAGATAGAAGCAAATGCTGCAGGTATTGTTGAAATGCACTATGACTTCTTCTTGACAAACATAAAGAATCTTACCGAAATAAAGATGTATGATTTAACAGAATATGAAGGCTTAACGATGTCAGATGTAAAGAAAGGCAAACCAAAAAAGAGACCATATAGAGATGAAAGCACACTGACAAATGACCAGAAAGCCATTTTGGAAGCTCTTAAGCAAACAGGAAACCCAGCACTTATAGAAAGCTTTTGGAAAGATAATGGTGAAAAGAAGTTTTATAAGAAGAGAAGCGGTCAGTTCTGGAAGTATCTTTGCACATTACCTATAAATCTTGAACGCTACCAAATCTTCAATGAACTGAACAAAAGAACTGCAACACTTATGACAGAAGACAATTGTTTCGTTTATGCTTGCATTCAGGCTGGAGTAGATGGAGAACTATTGACCACATGAGAGAAGTCATTCGTGTTAGAGACTTTCCTCAAAGTAAAGTACAAGAAATTTCCGATTCAACAGGTATAGCATTTAATGTTACCATTGGTTACTTCAATGACTCAAGACATAATGAAATAAAGAGATACATACCAAAAGAATGTAAAACTGTTCGAACTATTGACTTACTTCTTGTTGAAGACCACTACATGCTAAACGAAAGATTACCAATGACAACATATTTCATTCGCAACTATATAGAAATCTTGAAGGAGTGTGGTGGAATGAACATTGAGAAACAGATGAAAATATATACAATGAGAGATGGTAAATACATTGTTCGCATGGATAGAACTACACCGCTATGGGATGTTATGAAAACATTGTGGGAGTGCAAATATTTCGAACCTATTTCTTATGGAGAACTTTTCACATATACGACTGACTTATATAAACAGAACCTTGCACCATTTAAAGATTTGACATATGCTCCAAAGTATTGTGTACAACTGAAGAAGAAAGCAGAGTCAAAAGAAGTAAATAAAAATAAGTGCAAGTTCATTCCTGAGCACGTTTTCTTTGCTGACTTTGAGTGTAGTACCGATGGCTTTCATAAAGCTTTTAACATCTGTTATGACAGTGAAGATGGTTCAGTGAGTGAAAGCATTTGGGGTCAGAACTGTGCAACAGAATTTTTGGAACGACTTCCTGACAAGAGTTTAATATATTTCCATAACCTCAGTTATGATATAAACTTCATCTTAAGACACATGACAGAAGTGAAAGGAACTCCCATCATTAAAGGTTCACGAACAATGCAAATAACTGGCTTATATAAAGGACGGGCAATTATTATAAAAGACTCTTACAGTGTTATAAATAAGAAGCTTAAACTATTTCCTGCTATGTTTAACTTACAAACAGGACCGAAAGAAGTATTTCCATATAACTACTACAGCAGTGTTTTGTTAGCAAATGACAACAGAACTGGTGTCATTTCTGAAGCATGTAAGTTTATCCAGGATGCAGATACATTTATGAAAAACATAGATTCCATCAAAGGTTGCAGAATAGATGAAAACCATTTCGACTTAGAAAAGTATAGCACATTTTATTGCAAACAAGATGTAAGAATTTTAAGAGAAGGTTTTGTTAAGTTCCGCAATGACATATTGAAAGAGTTTGATTTAAACGTTTATGACTACGTTAGTATTTGTTCAATTGCTAACAAATTGTTTGAGAACAGAGTGTACTTCCCGAATGGAAATTTATATGACCTCTCAAATAAACCAAGAGAATTTATTTCACGCTGTATTCAAGGTGGAAGATGTATGCTGTCAGATAACATGAAACAAAAGAGCGAAAAGAAACTCATTGCTGACTTCGATGCTGTTTCATTATATCCTCAGCTATAGCAAGACTTTATACTTTAGAAGGAATTCCAAAAGTTTTGAAGAAAGAAATGTTAAGCACAGAGTATCTCATGAGACATTTATTCGATGACGACCAAAAGGAACCCATTGGTGAAAAGTTTATGTCTGGCTTCTTTGTTCTCATTAAGATAACAGAGATTGGAATACATAGACACTTTCCTTTAATAGTTTGTGACCCTGAACTAAATCCAGAACTTAACGTTCCCAGAAGTTCAAACACTTGCTGTCTCATGTATGTTGACCATATAACATTACAAGACCTCATAAAATATCAAGGTGTCAAATGTGAAGTGTTGCAAGGATACTATTACGATGGAAACAGAGATATTAGAATAAGAGATGAAGTAAAGAAGTTGTTTGAGTTAAGGTTAAAGTATAAGAAAGAAGGAAATCCTTTGCAAGAAAATATAAAGCTCATTCTGAACAGTATTTATGGCAAAACTATTCTATCTCCTATTGAGTCAAAAATAACCATAGTAAATGACAAAGATGCTATAAGATATGCCATCAGAAACTACAACCATATAGTGAAGTTCGAAGGTTTGGATGGTTCAGATAAAACTATTTTCAAGCTAACGAAAAGCATTTGCAGACACTTTAACTTCTGTCCACTTGGTGTTAACATTCTGTCTATGTCAAAACGTATTATGAATGAAGTATTCTGTACTGCTGAAGATATGGGACTTCAAATATTTTACCAGGACTGTGATAGCATGCATATTTTCAATGAAGACATACCAAAGCTTGCAGCAGAGTTTAAGAAGAGATACGGTAGAGAACTTATAGGAAAGAACCTTGGTCAGTTCCATTCTGACTTCGCAGAAATAACACCTGGAAAACAAAGTTTAGCATACAAGTCAATATTTTGTGGAAAGAAGACCTACATAGACTTACTCACGAATGATTTAAATGAAGTTGCATTCCATGCACGTTGTAAAGGTGTAAAACAAGACGTTCTTGCTTTAACAGCTAATGAAATGTTTCCTGAAGCTATACAATGCTATTACAATGAAGATAAGAACATTCACATACCTGTTGGAACATATGACAAAGACTCTGAGTTCAGTTTAATGAAACTTTACAAAGCACTTCATGATGGTCAAGAGATTGATTCGACTTTGTAAGTCTGCTACACCTGCTTTGGAAAAGTTTAACTTCAATAACGACTAAAACAAGCTTTATTCGTAAGTTGAAGTTCTGAAGTCATTTATTTTTGTCAGCAATGAGGTCATGAATGAGGTCAGCAATGAGGTCATGAATGAGGTCATTTATTTTTGTCAGCAATGAGGTCATTCGTGATAAAAATAAAACTAGCGTAGATTTTACAATACAGCTATTGTAGAGTTTAAGAGTTGTGCTTCAATGTAGAGACAGTCCTTATGGTCTGGAGGTAAGAACACTGGGCAGTTATGGTCATGAGTGGAGAACATGTCTATCCAAAACTCACGATTGAAGCCAGTTAATTTATAGTATTTAGGGTTAGGAAGTGGTGAAGTTCTTGTATGACCAATGAACTCATTTTCAACTCCCTTACTTAAGTTTGAATATAATATAGCTTGCTTTCTATCCCAAACGCCAG